CGGTTGGACAGACATGTAGCGCAAATGCCGGGTTTTGTTTACGTTTTGTTTTGTTCACAACGTGTACATTTGGATCCATCCTTAAGGGGTTAATAGAACAATAACATGGCATGAGAAGGAATCCATATCCTACTACAATGTGAACTTAAAGTGCAATAATAATACTATGCACAAAATATATAGAGAGATCTCCCTAACAAGTGTGGAACAAAGTTAGGGTAAAGAATAGGAGTAAATGAAGCTCATTGAGTATCAAGGACTGATGTAAACACAGGATTGAAAGAGACAGGAACACTGCCAAAGAGGGAAGCACTAAAATAAATCCTCTAACAGGATATCAATGTGAATGTTGCACTCTAAGTCCTCACAAACTAGCATTCAAGCTCCCAGTATCAGCTATACATTGGAGGTTGGTTCAGATAGTCCTCTTTCATGGTGACACAATAGTCTGAGGTTCCATGGTATTTACTGTGCTCTTTCTATGAAGATACTTTAATCAAAGTGTTTCGCTTTGTTGGGCTTCGCCAAGATAGAGGCTTTTTCATGAATTAGACTAAAGGAGCAGGTGCCACATACTCACAAAATATAAGTGCTGATTCTTCTAAAAAGAAAAATAATAAACACTAATAACAAAAATAAGAATATATAAGAAAATACAATTCCTTCAATAATAGTTATAGACTTGACACCAATATCCGTCCAAATGTAAAGTCCCAATTGGAAGTGTCTAAAGGCCACAATGAGCTATAGTAAGCCACAACTTAAGGGATATAAATTAGAGGCCCCAGTCAAACTGTATCAAGCACTATAAGGAAACTCCTGTTACAGAATAAACTGGAGTCACTCTAAATGGTGTTGTCACTGATCTGGTACTCAAATAGGTTATCACAAAGAAGCCAAAGATGATCCAGTTCCGAAGGGTATCCGTGCCCACTCTACAAGGTCAAATTCTATCTCTTGGGCTGCAGAGGCTGAGAAACTGCTATGTTTTCATTGAGCGTTAATACAGCCTCTAGTGGCTGGCTACCTGACAGCCACTAGAGGCCACTTCCGCAATTCTCAGTGTGAAAATCCCACTAAGATGAAGCTGACATCCATAAGAAAGCATTGAGTAATGCTTTCCTATGGGCGGTCTGAATGCGCGCGCGGTTCTGGCCACGCATGCGCATTCGGAGCTGACGTCGGCAAGGGGAGGAGAGGTCACCAGTACCGAGGGAGCCCGGCGCTGGATTAAGGTAAGTGGTTGAAGGAATTTTAACCCCTTCAGCCCAGCGGGAGCAGGGCCACAAGGGATGGGGGGATCTAATAACCCTATAGTGCAAGGAAAACGAGTTTGTTTTCCTGGAACTATAGTGCTCCTTTAAGGCATTTGTCCCTACAAGGTGGGTAGCTTAAAACAAATCACTCAAGTTAATATATTAAGTTAAATCAATATAGTGTGGTGAAAGCAATTACTAATAACATATACACTGAAGAAAATTATAAACGCAACACTTGTTTTTGCCCCCATTTTTCATGAGCTGAACTCAAAGATCTAAGACTTTTACTATGTACACAAAAGGCCTATTTCTGTCAAATATTGTTCACAAATTTGTCTAAATCTGTGTTAGTGAGCACTTCTCCTTTGCCGAGATAATTTATCCACTTCACAGCTATGGCATATCAAGATGCTGATTACGGTTATAGCATCTAATTATTGGGACTTTGTATCAATTTCTCACCCTCTCTGCTTCATTAATTGCTAGGTTTAGCCCTTTGAACTAACTTCTCAGAATAGCACTACCTAGCAATATTCTGGCTCTTGTACTTAGAGGTGAGAATTTAGTTCATATATGTTATGAGTAATTGTTTTTATTACATTATATTTATTTTACTTAATATATTCACTTGAGTGGTTTCTTTTAAGAAGATTTCAATTAAAAGTTGATTTATAAAAAGAGGCTGCTTTTGTCTGTAAGGTTTTTCTTGTTTTCCCTGGCATTTTTTCTTTGGTAAATCTGTTAATGTTAAGGGGTAACTCCCCCAGTTTGTCGCCGCGGCCTGACACACTCTCCTTGACTTTTTTCTTTTCCAGAGCAGCAATTTTGCCTACATTTTGTGATTGGATTTAATTTGCTAAAATTTGTTGATTAGTGAATAACCCTCTGGAGTGTGACTTGCCGAGAATTCACAGTGAATTTCAGATTTGTGAACAATATATCTACATTGGGGAAAAAAAGTTTTGTTCTGCTATTTTTGGCTTACAATTTGAAATCCCCTTTAAATAACTTACATATTATTGAATAACCCTGGCAGCAGGGGAGGGCTGGCAGCCTTAGGCCTTTGGGGCAAATCCAGTCAAGTGGCCCATTGCACCAAGAGGAGAGTAAAAACACCTTTCCCATGTGATTGAAGGGGGGCAGTCACGTAACAGACACTCAATGACAGGCACACACACACTTGCTGATTTGGCACACACTAAAATACACACACTCACTGACAGGCACACAGACCACACACAGAAAAACACACTGTTACAGGCATACTGACTCAGACAGACAAACATACTGACACACACACAACAAAGGCATACTGGCTGATACACACACACAGACAAACTGGCACACACATAGACATACTGACACGCACACAGACAGACATACTGGCGCACACAGACATACTGGCACACACACACACACAGACATACTGACCCACACACACACAGACATACTGACACCCACAGACATACTCATACACACACATACACCCAAATTTTACACTTTTAAAACCAGTAGACAGGGGCTGAGTAAAGAGACAGGGCTGTAGTGGGGGGACAGGGGCTGTAGTGGAGGGTATAAGCTGTAATTGGGGGTTTAGGAAATGTGGTGTGGGTGAGGAGCTGTAGTGAGGGTGTTATGGGGCTGTAGTGGGGGGCATGGGGCTGAGGAAGGGGGCTGGAGCAGGGAAAGGGTGGGATAGGGACTGAGGGGGGGGAAAGGAGCAGGGAAAGGGCGGGATAGGGGCTGAGGGCGGGAAAGGAGCAGGGAAAGGGCGGGATAGGGGCTGAGAGGGTGGGATAGGAGCTGAGGGGGGGACAGGGGCTGCAGAAGATGGATAGCGGCTGCGGAAGGGGGATAGCGGCTGCGGAAGGGGGATAGTGGCTGAAGAAGGGGATGGGGCTGAGGAAAGGGACAGGGGCTGGGCAAAAGAGGACAGGGGCTGAGGAATGGGGACAGGGGCTGAGGAAGGGGACAGGGCTGAAGAAAGGTATTGGTACAGGGGCTGAGCAAGGGGACAGAGGCTGAGCAAGGGGACAAGGGCTGAGGAGGGGACAGGGGCTGACTAAGGGGACAGGGCTGAGGAGGGGACAGGGAGGGGGGAGGCTGACTAAGGGGACAGGGGCTGAGGGCGACAGGCTGACAGGGGCTGAGGAGTGAGACAGGGGGAGGGGCTGAGGAGGGGGGACAGGGGCTGACTAAGGGGCTGAGGAGGGGGGGACAGGGGCTGACTGAGGGGGCACATGGGCTGACTGAGGGGGGACAAGGGCTGACTAAGGGGACACTGAGGAGGGGCTGAGAGGTGGGGGGGATGGGCTGAGGACAAGGGCTGACTAAGGGGACAGGGGCTGAGGAAGGGTGACAGGGGCTGAGGTAGGGGACAGGGGCTAACTAGGGACAGGGGCTTAAGGGACAGGGGCTGAGGAGGCACATGGGCTGATGTATGGTGACAGGGGCTGAGGTACGGTGACAGGGGCTAAAGTAGGGGACAGGGCTGAGGAGGGGGGACAGGGGCTGAGGTAGGGTGACAGGGGCTGAGGAGGGGACAGGGGCTGACTAAGGGGAAATGCGCTGACTATGGGGTTGGCTAAGGAGACAGGGGCTGAGGAGGGGGGGCAGGGGCTGACTAAGGGGACAGGGCTGAGGAAGGGTGACAGGGGCTGAGGGAGGGGACAGGGCCTGACTAAGGGGACACGGCTGAGGAAGGGTGACTGGGACTGATTAATGAGACAAGGCCGAGGAGGGGGGACAGGGGCTGAGGAGGGGAAGAAAAAAAAACTAAAGTGTATTTCCCCCCTCCCAATTGCCTCCCTGCCCCCCTCCCCAGCCCGCCCATGCCTGGCAGGCTAACAGTACAATCTAATTCTGGTCATAAATATTATGCCAACAGCCGCAATAAAATATTCTAGGCTTCCTCAACCAGACAGACAGATTTACCCAGCTGAGGAAGCCGAGAATTTCGGTGAAACGCATCTTTGGAATAGTTACGATTACCCTTATGCCCTAATTATATAGTGTATTTGTATTTGCTAGATATTTTTATATGTAATATTTTTTTATGTATTATTTTATGTTTTTAGTATGTTTTTTAATATTATTTGGGGAAATATACCCTATTAATAAATAGCTTTACACATACACTTTGGGCCAGTGGTTTCCTGCTTATAGGCGTGTAGTCCTGATACTACACAACATGCTGTGATTGAGCCTTTGTGATGGCTCCACCTTTGTGAGTATATTTTTATAGATATTATACTCCACCCTCCATTACATAAGATACTGCACCATATTTGCTTTTCTGCTCTAGCCCTAATATAGGATTAAAAGAAAACCACTACAGCAAAGAAGGGAAAGGTCGCCTAAACGGACCTATTGGCGTTTTACCCCTGAGCTAGGCATTTAGCTCGGGTAAATGTGAGTGGTTCCATATATATACGTTCACTCTCACTTTATACCTACCATTTTACACTATTGGAGTCCTTTGATTTTTTTTCCTTTCCTAGGTTTTTTGTGAAATTGTAAGAATAACTAATACTATTGTACAAGTTAAGTATAGTCTACTTATTTACCGTAGATCTTAATAAGCGCTACACTGTTCCATTTTTCTTGATCTATATTGAAAGTTCTGTTTAGTTTATATTTAGGTGCCAATTGTGCTTGAAAGCTAATATGGAGAATTTATATGGGATTATGTGAACCACTGAAAATCAATATTACAATCAAAAACAATGTATTTATTTTTAAAGGTCGGCGGGTCTGCCTGGGAGAGAGTCTTGCGAGAATGGAACTTTTCTTATTCTTTACATCACTCATGCAGCAGTTTAAATTCGAGATACCCGACAAAGAACCTCGTCCAAGGGAGGATGGCCAACTTGCATTTACACTCAGTCCACATCCTTACAAAATGTGCGCTGTATCAAGAATGTAGCTTGTTAAACTGAAAATCCTTATAATTCTCTATAAATGTAGCTACGTATGTTGCAATCATTAATGTAACAACACAATGGTTGATTATATAGGACATGGAGCTCATAGGAATTTCTAAAAAAAAAAATTGTTAACTGCTTTAAATGCTGCACTTTACACTATGAGACAATTTTTTAAATTGTGCTAAAATGATCACCAAAGATGGGATGGAATGTGTGTGGTTATATGGTTACAATGTACTAATTAAATTAATTGTATGAAATAATGTAGGACTACGCTTTAGAAAATGGGTAGGATTATGAAAGACATTAGAATAAAGAAAATGAAGATGTAGGTAGGCAAAATATGCTGCACAAGCCTATGAATTTATTGATATGATATTATCCATAACCAAATTAATCTACCTATATACACACTTTGCTTCTAAAAATTATTAAAGTAAAAGTTATCATAACCTTTTCCACATTATATATCAGTGCTAAAAATTGTGTTACAGTTTGACATAAATAAAATTTTAAAAATGTATCTATCACATTAGAGAGGAAACGATTTTTAAAAGAGTGTTTAAAGATGCATAGGAAAGCTTTATTTCAATACTTTCTTATGGAGTAACTGTAAAAGACCAACAAAGATGTATTTTGGAACAGACAAAATACATCCTCATCTGTGTAGCCAAATATCCTTGCGCCGGCACTGTTTACAGTCATGTATCATTCATCTGCAATGTTAACCTCACAATGTACATCCACAAGTGACAAGATTATGCAAAGCCAATCTCACACTTTACATTCAATCACATGAGATGAACTGACTGAATCAAAGAGATGAATTGTTGCAATGCTGACTTCACATGTTGAGCATTCACTTACAAGAGCTCAGTGGCTGGATTCTGTACTGGTGACATCACAACGTATATCCACAAACAGGAGCTCATTCACAATATTGCTGTTGTGTTTTTTTATAGTGCATATTCTCTCACAGGAATAACCACAATGTGTATATACGCATAACAGATTATTGTTAGGATTCTGGAGAAATAATTTATATCCAATAAAGGGAAATCTAAGAGTTTATTGTATAATCTAACCTCACACTAAAAGTAATTTCAATGGCTGGATTTTGTAATGTTAATCTCATTAGGCACTAGCACCCACAAACAGATCAGAGCAAGAACTTGTGTGCTCTGTGCAATATAGGGCAGTTTATGATTTTAACAAAAAAAAAAAAATATATATATATCTATATCTATATATATATATATATATATATATATATATATATATACATACATATATTCGTGTTAAGAGCACATAGCCGTAGGAGTAATTCCAGTATAATCGTAGGATAGTACAAAAGAGCAAGTCGGTTGTGGTGTGCCAGGACCGACAATACGGTAGGCCTGTAAATAAAGAAGTAAGAAAAAGAAAGGAAAAGAGAAAAAGAAAGGAAGGAAAAGTGTTGATAATGTATAGTGGTTGGAGGGTCATGCAAACGCTGACCTCGAATGGTGTGGAGCCAGGTAAGGGGTGTTCCTTAAATAGGTAAGTGTATAATCATAAGCCCCTCCCACAATTACAGGCCAAACGACCTTAATACATATATATATATATGTATATAAAAATAGATAAGCAAGGCACTCCTCCTCTACCTTATTCAACAAAATCACAACTGCCCAGGTGCAATCCCGCGTTGAATATACATTAGAAAATAAAGGGAGCACACTAGGGCTTCTTCTCAGTGGAAAAAATATACTTTACTGTATCATCAAGTAATACATATTCTATGCAGAGTATAAAAAAATCGACGTTTCGACCCTCCTGGGTCCTTCTCGCGTGAGCACAGAGCGTTGCCGCAGTTACCACGACAACGCTCCGGCTCTCACGAGGGTGAACTCTAGCCCCATACACACATTTCCCCCACACACACACCATACACATTCACATACTGCCCCCCATACACACATTGCCCCACACACGCTACACATTCACAAACTACACACCCACACACTGAACCTTTCACACATATTGCACCACTGCTCCTATACCCTACTACAGCCCCATATCCCATTAGACTCCAGGTAAGTTGTCAAACTGTTCTTAAACGGTTTGACTACCGTATATACTCGAGTATAAGCCGAGTTTTTCGGCACATTTTTTGTGCTGAAAAACCCCAACTCGGCTTATACTCGAGTCACTGTCTGTATTATGGCAATTTACATTGCCATGATACAGACTGGGGGCTGGCAGCGAGCGCTTACCTCTCCTGCAGCTCCTGTCAGCTCCCTCCTCCTCCGCGCCGGTCCGGTCAGCACCTCGGTCAGCTCCCAGTGTAAGTCTCGCGAGAGCCGCGGGGTCATAGTGCGGCTCTCGCGAGACTTACAGTGTGAGCTGACAGAAGAGCTGCACGGACCGGCGCGGAGGAGGAGAGAGCTGACAGGAGCTGCAGGAGAGGTAAGTAACAGCTCTGCCAGCCCCACTCCTCCCCCCACTGAACTGCCAATGCCACTGGACCACCAGGGAAGGAGAGCCCCCCTCCCTGCCATGTATCAAGCAGGGAGGGGGGACGACAAAATAAATAAATTAAAAATATATAAATAATAATAATAATAAAAAAAAATAATATAACAAAAAAATTTAAATAATATTAATATATAAATAATAATAATAATAAAAAAAAATAATATAACAAAAAAATTTAAATAATATTAATATATAAATAATAATAATAAAAAAAATAATATAACAAAAAAAAATTAAAATAATATAAAAAAAATTTTTTATAAAAATGCCCACCCCCCCACCAAGGCTCTGCCACACAAACACACACTGCCTCACACACACACACACTGCACTCATACACACACACTGCATTCATACACACACCCTGCATTCATACACACACTGCACTCATACACACACTGCATTTATGCACACACACTGCATCACACACACACACTGCACTCATATACACACACTGCACTTATACACACACTGCATTCATACACACACTGCATTCATACACACACTGCATTCATACACACACCGCACTCATACACAAACACTGCATTCATACACACACTCTGCATTCATACACACACTGCATTCATACACACACACTGTAAATAAATATTCAATTAATATAATTTTTTTAGGATCTAATTTTATTTAGAAATTTACCAGTAGCTGCTGCATTTCCCACCCTAGTCTTATACTCGAGTCAATACGTTTTCCCAGTTTTTTGGGGTAAAATTAGGGGCCTCGGCTTATATTCGGGTCGGCTTATACTCGAGTATATACGGTACTTACTCTGGGAGGGGGTCCCGGCACTCCTGGCATCATAACCACTACACAGAGGAGTAGTGGTTATTGTGCATGGAATATTTCTTTAAATAATCTACAAGTGCCCCTCCCGGGATCAGGCTCTGGATCCGCCACTGGTATATGACGTGTATATTAATGTGTGTATTAGTTATATATATATATATAGAGAGAGAGAGAGAGAGAATTATGCCTATTATATTTACACATATATTAATGTACATTTATATATGCATAATACACAGAGAAATTTCATTAATATGTACCATATGTAATGAGCAGATATTGGCCCAGTCTTGTTGCTAGGTGCATACTCCAGCACAATAACATATTTAAAGTGAAGAGCACACCCACAGGACTTCAAAATAAAAATTTTTACAGTTGTGCCCCACATACATTCACCATTTCAGTCCCATTACCAAGCTTTCCTTAATATGTCAAGGTAGTTGGACTAAAACATTGATTACATGCAAAGGCATATGTGCTTAAAATAAATCTGCACTTTTGTTTATTTTGAAGCCTATGAGTGCTTTTTTTTACGTTGGAGTAATAATTTTTAATTTTAAGTTATCTGTTCTAACTCTGTATCTGCACACTATGCTGGCATGACGCATTATGGGGCTGGTAAATATTTTTTTTTCCAGGGCTGCTTTTAATTCCCAGTCCGGCCCTGCCAGTGATAGGCTGAGTACGTCAGCTAATGCTCGAGCGAGTCACTGCCACCTCCTCACTGCTCGCGCTCTCTCTTCCCGAATTTGCTGAAGCAAAATGGGAGAAGGAGGGACTGGCACCCAAGGACGCATTCAAGAATGATTCAACTCTTAAACGATAAGATATTATAGATTAAATTGTTATGGCGCCAGAGGAGTCATCTAATTGTGCATTGACTCACAGTGGCCATATTTAAAAAATTTGATTGAATAATAGATTTTCACTTAATGAAGCTGAAAGCTGTTATTCTGTAATGTGGACATCACAACAGATTAATTTACATGATGTCAGTGGTATATGTCTGTAATGGTGACCTAACAGTGCACATTTACTTACAGGAGTTCAATGTCAGGATTCTGTCATTATGACCTCATTATACATGTCCTCTAGCAGAAATTCAAACTGTTATTTTGTAATAATGGTGTTGCAATACATATGCACTTGGGCAGTGGCAGAATTACAAAATGCCTCACATTGTACATCAACAACATTTATTGAAACAAAAACTAAATTTGCGTCCTATTAAAGTATGCCTGCGTCCCTGGGTGGAAGATCTGCCATCATTTAGGATGCGTTATAGCCTTCCAATGGTTTCCTCTGATAATCTCAGCTAAAGTGAAGAGCACACTCATAGGACCTAAAAATAAACAAGATACACCAGTTTAGCAGACATTCACCATTTCAGTCCCATTACCAAACAGTTCTTAATATGTCGAGGTAGTTGGACTGAAACATTGACTATATGCAAATGCATACATATCCAAATGCTTAAAATAAATTCACTCTTTTGTTTATTTTGAAGCCATATGAGTGCTTTCTTTCACGTTGGAGTAATATTGTTTAGTTTTAAATTTCAAGTTCTCTCTTCCACTTCCATATCTGCACACTATGCTGGCATCACGCATTATTGGGCTGATATAGGTTTATTTTCCAGGGCTTTTTTTCATTCCCAGTCTGGCCCTGTTACATTACCATCTATGACAGCCAGAAGAGCTCCTGATTTTTGTGACATGTTTGTACACAGCCATCCTGCTCTGTTACATCAATCTGCAATCTGGCTAAAACCCACTCGCGGTGTTTATCGTTGCGGCCATTGCAAGGCCTGCAACTTTATTGTACCGACCAAAGAAGTTTAAAATGTTGTTGCCAACAAGTCAATGAAACTCAAATCTTTAATAAATTGTTCTTTTGCTAATGTTATTTATCTGGCAAGCTGCTCTTATGGCATCCAATATATCGGCAAAACTATTCAACAGTTCCGCAGAAGGATTTTGCAACATGTACATTCAATAAAGGCCCACCTTGACACATCAATCTCACGCCACATTCACAACTTGTCAGGCAAAAGAGATTGTCAATACATTATTGTAAAAGGAGCCTAGGTGGATCTATGGGTTCAGGACGTTGTCCCCCGCAAATCTTAATGGGGAATTTAACTTTACGACGTTTATTAATTAATATAGAGGATTTCTGGATATATTTTCACTTACGATGCTTATACTCCTGTTGTGGAAATGAGATATTAACATAATTTTAGCTAGTAAAATGCCTATTTACTCCATTTAGTTATACTCAGTATTATTCAATAAATTACTAAACTGACCACTAGATGTCACTCAGGAGTACCCCACCCATCGACCAAACACTCTCATTTTCAAGATGGCGCTGGAATCCGGGGGAGAACTTCATGACGACAGTAATGACATGGCACACCCAGTAGGACGTGCTTTGAATTAAACACTTAACACTTAACCAATTATTGATGTATTATTTCATGTTATCTCTGACAGTGCTTATGATGTAATTGTGCTTTATAAGGGACATGTCGTCCCCCCTGAATAAACATTCCAGAGTATTTCATCAACCGGGAAACGTGTGTCTGGTGTGATTTACTTAGGAAAGCATGCATGCACCATAACCAATTTGGAAAGGGGCAGATACACAAAAATAATCAATTGATTGAATTGATTTCCACTTCACTCATGAGGTGGCTATATTTCATTTCATACATGTATTTCAGATATGTTATGAATATTGGGTATAGGTATATTTTAACTTTGATGTTCTTGTATATAGCCTCAAACTTATTTGTACTTCTCTTCAGCTCCTCAAATCTATTTTAGTGTCTCTTTATGCATTTAGGACACTGTTACTTTAAACCTTTGTTTGGCTTCAGTAGTGGATTGGCATGGAGTGTATCATATCTATCTATCTATATATATATATATATATATATATATATCATCTCCATGGCAACCTTTTTAGAATGCATCACTTGAATAGGAGGAACATGCAAAGCAATATGTCTGCAGATCTGATGCCAATCTGTTTATTTATCAAATGATCTTATGGCTGCCAATCAGTCACAAGCATAGTTGTGCCTTACACCTTTAACCCCTTAAGGACACATGACATGTGTGACATGTCATGATTCCCTTTTATTCCAGAAGTTTGGTCCTTAAGCGGTTAAATATTTTGATTTCTTAACTCTTAGTGCAAGGCAAGCATTGAATTGGCCACCAAACAGTACCCTATCACGTCAACATAGCCATTCGCAGGAAGGGGATGGATAATGAAATCCCGGGTGTTGCCTTAGTAGCCTCTTCTCTAGCAATACCTGAAGCAAATTATTTTTTTGTTTTTCCTTATTTTTCACTTTGCATTTTCATTATTTGGACTAAAGGGAACATTGGTCAGCTGATAAATTTGTAGGGACTAGTCACCACAATTTTTATTGTAAGGAACATCCGACCTCTGCACACCACCTTTAGGGAGTTTTAGTGATTTTGATATTTACGTTTACAGTTCATTCCTTTTTTTTTTTTATTATTGTTTTTTGTTTTATCCATTCTTTGTAATTAGAAATAGTTCCAGTCTTACTTAGTGAATTTTTGTTTGGGAGAATAGCGACATCTGGTGGATGTTTGAATTCATTGTCAGACTTCCTTTGCAACAGAATATACGACTGACTTAAAGAGTGATACTCATTGTTGCAATTCTTGAATAATAATACACAGTGTATCAAACTTCCATCATTTGTTTCAACCCTTAAAAATACTGCCTTTTCCTATTCCTACTGTAATAATTAGAGAAACTTGGGGAGGTTACCATTTCATATATTACTTATAAATACAGGCAAACTAATTTCGTGAATTGCTAGACATTTGTTAAATAGGATGTACAAAAAGAGGAGCTGAGGGCTGTGCTTTGTCAGAAATGAGTAAAAGAGTAAAAATAAAAATAAAAACAATTATAGTTCATCCGAATAAATAAGAAATATAAATTAAAACAGTCTCACTGATGTGCAGTAATATAATATAAGTCCTCAAATGTCGCTCCGTCCTTATGGTAGGTAGTCCATATATGTGAAGACAAAAATAAGAGAAAAAAGCTTCCAATGGTGAAATATAGTATGCCCAAAATGTGGTATATATTCAAAGGAAAGGTATTTCTTTTTTTGGTAAATATGAGTTTATTTTTGAAGTTTTGCTGTAGCAGATACAATCAAACATGCATTAGTGAGTCGGGAGACACGCAGGTCTCATGTACCGTAACATTTAGTTTAATATTTGACATTTATACAATATTCCTTGAGACTTGTAGGCTTTATTATCCTCATGTGTCTATAAATTCCGTATTTCCTTTGTTTCTTTTCCCTTTCCCTCTCCTTCCCTCCCCGCTTCCCCTCCATCCTCTAGTTCCCTTCCTCCCAACCTTCCCTTCTTGTTCCTTTTCCTTCTCCTTCCCTCTCCTTCCTTTCCCCTCTCACCTCCTCCTCCTCCCCCGTTTCTTCTTCCCCCCTGTTTTGCATTCCCTGGTATCGTGGGATGTTTCTTTTACCGTGGGGTTAGGGCTATCTCATTCTGCTATGGGAGTCCCTATCACATGGTTCGCTGTGTTCTATCCGTGCATTGGCGCAGTCGCCTGGCGTCGGTAGCCCCCTACCATCTGGGCTTCTGTCTTTGTCGGATATCGTCCGATTGTCCGGTATGAGCGGTTTTACCAGAGCCCTTTAGTTTTTCGTCTCGTGCGTTTTATTCTTGAGTGTGTGCGTTATTCTGTGGCATATTTGTGCACTGCCGTTGATCTTTACATTGTGTTGGGCTTGTCTTAGGGTCCTGGGTCTCGATTCCCTTGTTCACTACTTCAGCTAGTGTATGTTTGTCTTTACCTCCGTTTGGGGTTGCTTTCTGTGATGGTCGGCCACCAAGCAGTATACACCGCTTTCGTGGGCGACCATGCCTAGATTGCTCGTGTTCGCCTCTGTGGATTCCAGATGGCGCTGGAACTAGAGCTAGGTATGTTTGTTTAATGGTTTAATCTGAGTTTGCTTTTGTGTGGCTGTTGTATTTTCCTTTTCTGTTCCGATCAGCGTGTATCAGTATGTAGCTGTTTCTTCGGCTGTGTTTGTACTACGGTGTGGTGTAGCACCTACCAGGTTGTTATGTCTCCATGGTCCTTGTGTTGTGTTATAGGTTTGGAAGATAGAGGAGAAGAAGAGAGAGAGAGAAAAAAAAAGGGGGAAGGTGTGGGGAGTGGTTGCCTGTTTGACGTATGGGGTCACCTTCTATGTTACAGAAGGAAAGGTATTTCACTCACATTTGTTGGAGCTCAAACCAGCTCTAGGAGAAGAGGCACTTAGTGGTTTAATCCCCACTATCGGATATACTTAAAAGGTTGGTCCGTCCGTCCAGCTTGAGATTTCTTTGATGTAGGCTAGGACCTACTCAGATGTGCATTATTCGTTTATGCTGGGGAGATAGGTCCGCCTCTCCGGTATTGGATAATAGATGTCCACGAGATATATAAAACAGCAGATAGTGCTCTCAGTATGAACAACACAGTAATATGTTAAAATAAGTTATACTTACAAAAATAGAGCAGACAGGTACTGCTCTATTGCCTCCAACATAGCTGAGTGATACAAAAATGGAGGCTCTTTAGTTCTATTCTAAATGGCCATTTGAATATGTAAGCTCACCAGCCACGTCAAGGCAAGCCTCAATAGGTGAGTTCCTACACTAGCCATTAGATACGCTATCAGCCAAGAGTCTCCAATAAGACAGGAAGGGGTATTTTATAAACCCTTTAACATTTAACCCTTTATAGGGCTTCTGCACATACAATACACTTTGCTGATATCAGACAAAGTGAGACAGAAAGGGGTGTTTTATAAACCCTTTAACATTTAACCCTTTATAGGGCTTCTACACATTCAATAAACTTTGCTGGTATCAGACAAAGTATAAACGTCTCTAATGAGACATGAAAGGGTGTTTTATAAACCCCTACATACTTTACCCTAAATAGGGCTATAACATACAAATCACCTTGCTGGTATCAGCTAAAAGGCAAATTTCTCTGATGAGACAGGAAGGGGTGCTGCCCCTACATACTTATAAAGTCTTAATAAGACAAACGTGGGAAGGCTGGCAGCAATGTAACATAGCTGAGTGATACAAAATTCATATACAGACACAAAGATAAAGCACCGCGCTTACAGCAGCAGTGGCTTAGTATCCAACAGCTTAAAATACATAGTAAAAACAAAGAAAAACGTTACCTGCGCTCTGGCCTAGATCCCCATGTGCATTTGAACAAAAATGGAGGCTCTTTAGTTCTATTCTAAATGGCCATTTGAATATGTAAGCTCACCAGCCACGTCAAGGCAAGCCTCAATAGGTGAGTTCCTACACTAGCCATTAGATACGCTGATATCAGCCAAGAGTCTCCAATAAGACAGGAAGGGGTATTTTATAAACCCTTTAACATTTAACCCTTTATAGGGCTTCTGCACATACAATACACTTTGGGGTGCTCAAACTCTGCCCCCCCCCCAGATTTTGCTGAACTACAACTCCCATGATTCTCTGGCTATTTATGTAATTCAAAGAATCATGGGAGTTGTAGCTCAGCAACATCTGGGGCGGGGGCAGAGTTTGAGCACCCCTGTTCTAGTGAATTGGGGCTACCCCATCTGTAATGATCACCATTCTTGTGAAGAGTGCCAGTGACCGGACACAGAGAGCGTCTCCACTGCAGAGTAGCCCGGGACAAATTGGAGTAGAAGCTCAATTTGGAGTAAAAAGTAAGATTGTGTGATTCAAATTCACAGGCAGAGGAGTCCCAGCCCAAAGAGAGAACCATTTTGTCTAGTGGTGACACAAATTGTACAATGAATCATCTATTGTAGATGAATTCAGATCTCTCATTGTCTTCAGTATGTGGTAACAGCTGCCCATAATAGCAGCCTTGGCTCTTTAAGGCAGTAGCAGGTTGAGAAACAGGCAGTGTAAGTAATGAGGGTGTTTGGCCAGAACCACCTCTAAAGGAATCCCCCATATTTTTACATTGTTGTGTCGTCTCCTTTCCCACCAATGTTGCCGTTGTGCATTCACGGGCACGTAATACTGTATTGTGGAATTCTTGCATTGCGGTCTGCTTGGTCTTAAGCTCAATTACATC